AAGAGCTATAGGCTTGAAATTGTAGATGTAGATCGAGTTTGTTTCCGATAATCGATAACTTGCTCCTTTTCCAAGCAATCGATAAAATTCGATATCGATATCCTGTTTTTTCGGCAATTTTGGTAAATATTAAGAGCTAGAGTAACGACATAACTCCGCGGAGATATGACGTTCCAAAACGACAAACCTTCGCGGAGATATGACGTTCCAAAACGACATAACTCCGCGGGAGATATGACGTTCCAAAACGACATAACTCCGCGCGGAGATATGACGTTCCAAAACGACATAACTCCGCGCGGAGATATGACGTTCCAAAACGACATAACTCCAAATCATCACGTTTTTTTTTTTTTTAAATAGAGATATGACGTCTCCATAAAGAATATATATTCTTGATCAGCATCAATAGCCGAGTCGATCTAGCCATTTCCGTCTGTCCGTATGTATAAACGCAAGGATCTCAGAACATACAAGAGCTATAGACTTGAAATTATAGATGTAGGTGCTCCTAGTGCCTGCGAAGATCGAGTTTGTTTCCGATAACCGATAACTTACTCCTTTTCCAAGCAATCGATAAAATTCGATATAGATATCCTGTTTTTTCGGCAATTTTGGTAAATATTAAGAGCTAGAGTAACGACATAACTCCGCGGAGATATGACGTTCCAAAGCGACAAACCTTCGCGGAGATATGACGTTCCAAAACGACATAACTCCGCGGGAGATATGACGTTCCAAAACGACATAACTCCGCGCGGAGATTTGACGTTCCATAACGACATAACTCCGCGGGAGATATGACGTTCCAAAACGACATAACTCCGCGGGAGATATGACGTTCCAAAACGACATAACTCCAAATCATCACGTGTTTTTTTTTTTTAAATAGAGATATGACGTCCCCATAAAGAATATATATTCTTGATCAGCATCAATAGCCGAGTCGATCTAGCCATGTCCGTCTGTCTGTCTGTCCGTCCGTCCGTATGTATGAACGCAAGGATCTTAGAACATATTAGATGTAGGTGCTCCTAGTGCCTGCACAGATCGATTTTGTTTCCGATAATCGAAAACTTACTTCTTTTCCAAGCAATCGATAAAAATCGATATCTATATCCTGTTTTTTGGGCAATTTTGGTAAATAATAAGAGCTAGAGTCACGAAACATGATATGTTGCTTCTAAAATAGAATATATATATGCATTTGATGTTAGAAGAAGAGGGTTCAGGGTATCCCCTAGTCGGGAGCTCCCGACTAGAACCTCTTACTTGTTGCATTTTGCTTTGTGTCGCATTCGCTAACGTTTTGCTGCTTTGTCTCTTAACTTGTTTCTATGTTCTTATTTTATTTTGAATAAAAGTGATTCATTTTTAATATTGATTGATTAAAATGTCGCCGTGTTGATCAGTTGTTAAAAAAGGAAAATGTGTTACGGTTGTTTGTGCTTTTTGTCGGGTTGGCTGGCAGCAGCCCGCCCCATCGCACAAAATGCACATTAAGCAAGAAACCAATTTCGCTGATTCTCGCATCAGTTTTATTTATTTTTATATATTTTCCACAACCAAAAATCCAAAGCATTTTTTTTTTTTTTTTTGTATTTCTGCTCGATAGGGACACGGCGGAAGGAAGTGGGTGAGGGGTGGGTGCGCAACCAAAATTAAATATTTACATAAATTTTTTATAATCAAAAATTAAATAATAAAAGCAAAAAAACATATATAAAGCCAAGTTAAAAGGGAAACGAGGCTCAGATTGACGTGCGCTGTGCCACGCCCAGGCAGCCGCACGCCTCAATGTGAGGCAAGCGAGCAATTGGCTTTTATTAATTAATTTATTTGAGTTGTTGTTGTTGTTCTTTTTGTTATGGTTGTTGTTGTTGTTGTTGTAGACGTGCCCTTTTGGGCGTGCTGCAATTTCAGTTGCATTGATTTAATTCCTTTTTTTTTCAACCTTGTTTTATTTAATTTTTTGTTCTCGTTTTTTTTTTTGTATTTCTGCTGTTATTAATATTAAATATTTATTTTGCAATTCTATTTTATTTGCAATTTATAATTACATTTTGATTGAGCGCCTCGCGCCTCCATCAATTTAATTGCCCTTTTGGATGCCAACGCGCAAAAAAATAGGCAACACTTTATATCATTGCCTACTTTTTTGCGCCCAGCACGAAATGTGCACCGTTCTTGATAATTGATCGGGCACTGAGCGATTTTCATAAATTGGCTTGACCAACCGAGCTGCCAGCGAGTCGATAAATAGTCTGGCAACGCTGCCAGTAAATATAATAGAGGCATGTATTGCCATTTTTTTACTGCAATTGCAAAAGTTTGCCAGCAAGGCGATTGATCTGCCTTAGCGCTGCCACGACGCTGTCTGGCTGTTTTATAAGCTTGCAGTCTGGCAACGCTTGCCGATGACTGGGCTCAAATGCTTGGGATTCGGCCTAAATGATTTGTTACACTTATGACTCTGATGTTGGGGAGGATTTTTGACGAGTGCTTTAACAACTGTCTGGCAACGCCAAATTTAAGACATTTACTGCCTTGTTTTAATATACAATGAAACGTGAAAAGACTGTTATCAGTTTATAAACGAGCTGCCAGATGTTGCAATTGTTTTGCCAATTGTCTGGCAACGCCAATAATTGCATTTTAAGTGCTTTTGAAGCTATTGCAGCTCTGCAATCAAATGGCTTGGTGTTCTAGTTATACAAAGAAGTTCTTGTGAACCAGCTCAAAAACTACTTGACTTTATTTGATTTGTGAACTAGTTTTGGGATTTGCGTTGCATTCATGTAAAAACCTGCTCATAGCTGGTTCAGGAACAAGTTCCATTCAGTGCAATGCACAATCAGTTCATTTGAACGCTGGAACCAGATTCATTTGAATAAAATGCAGACAATGGCAAAAGGCACAACTGAACGGCAAAAACAGAGAAAACCACCCACAGGCCAGTCAACCAACTGACCGACCGACCGACCGACCCTCCCCCTCAAACGCCGGTCCGGTCCGCTCCCCGTGACAATCAAAATTAAAATGAGTGGTTTATTAAAATTTAAACGCTTCACTTTGCGCGCGCAAAAAGCATTTTTGGCTTTTTTTTTTTTTTTTGTAGCCTTTTGCCTTTATATCTTGGCCCGACATGCAAATTGAGGACAATGCTGCGGGCTGGGGGCAAGGACGAGCCGGCGAATGTAGAATGAGATTGGGAATGAAAATGAGGCTGAGCTGAAGAGCAACAGCGAGAGCGGACGCGAATGAGGCTGTCCGTTGTTGGCTTTGGCTACTTTGATGTATTTTCATATTCCACAGAGACGAGCCAAACGCACATTGGCTGACAAAACGAACAGTGGTTGGCTAGGGGGGTGGGGTCTGTGGGGGAGTCAACAAACTGCAGTGGTGGGTGCACAATATGCTACAGGAGGGGCTTGGAGAGGGGGGTATGAGCATATGGCAACTGCTATTTGGTCAGCGAATGTCGACGTCGTCGTCGTCAGTTTGCAAGAGCCTTGACGTTTGTCTCTGACATTTAATCGTTGATTGATTTTACGTGCCGGCTACTCAAGTACCCTCACCAACACACACACACACACACACACACACACACACACTGAGTAACCCCTTCTCACCCATCTCCCCCCTTCCATGCTTTTGGCTAGCATCGCAGTCGCTTCATGTTTTATTTGCCTTTATTTTAATTACATTGATTTTGAGTAAACGCGCGCCACATTGTTCTCTCCCTCTCTCTCTCTCTCGCAACCGCCCCCCTGCCGCTGCTCCGCCTCTCTTTCGTAGTGTCCCTCGCTCTTTATCGTCTCTATTTGCACATCATTAAAATTGTAAAAATATTAAATGGCAAAACAAAAAACTAAGACAAACACAAATGCAGCACAAATTCAGACATGGCCCGGCATTGGAAGGGATTCTTTTTTTATTGTATTTCGGATTTTCGGCGGGAGGGAAATCGGTATGCTCTTTGAAGAAGAACAAGATACGGTAGCAGAAGAAAGAGTAGCGCTGCTATCGAAAGATTGGATTGGAAAGATTGAACTGTGTGTCCCTTTAGAAGAAGAGGAAATGTAACAATCGTTATTCAAGTCGGGCGTTATCGATAAATTGTAACAATCATTTACATCAATGCCTTTCGTAATAATCGATTTAAGTATACTCGTAAAAAATCGATATAAGTTTAAACATATTTATCGATAACAATATATAATTTTGAGCATATGCTTCAAATAGAACCTAACTTTATCCAGAGCAGTCGATCACCTTTGTTAGCTGCTATTAACGATAACATTTAATTGGTATTTCGATAAAAAAAATCGATAACAGTTAAAATAACAAACGGTCACATTTCATGAGCAACATCAGCAACAATCACAGACACCAAACGATAACTAATATCGAACGATAGCTTACATATAATATCGATCGATGGCAACTGATTTTGTAATCGAAACTGATTAATTATTATCGATAAGCAAACGAAGCGGCTTTGTTTAGCTATCGATAACAATCGTTTAAACTTAAAACTAGCTGTCTATGTACTTTTGCCTAATTGCAAGATTGCGTCTCATTTCAGGGCTTATCCAGAATTATGTTATCTCTATCAATTCCCCCCCCCCCCCCCCCCCCCCCCCCCCCCCCCCTGGCAGCACATCCCCCGCCTGCAGTCATCGTACTGTACTGGCAAATAAGGCGCACATTTTAAAATATTCAATTGGCAGATGCTGCCTGCCGCCAGCCTGCCCGCTCGTGCTGCTCATTATTTGTTAAGTGGCTTAATGAAGGCGGCCTTCGTCCAGCCGCGAGCTCCAGCCCCAGCTCCTGGCCTGGCCTGGCCTGTCTTTCGCCTAGCGGCAAATTGTTTACCGTTTGCGCAGTTTTTCCCATTTTCAGTTGGCTTTAATTAAATCGCTTTTTTTAAATGTGTTTGCTTAACTTTTACTCATCCACCCTCCCGCTCTCTCTCTCTCTCTCTCGCTCTCTTGCAGATAAACTGGCGAACTGTTTCGTGTGCAAGGCGGAGGCCTGTCCGCGTACGCGCCCATTGAAGAAGGGGCGCGGCCAGCAATATGCAATACCTGACGAAACGATACCGGCGGGCGCACGCGTCTGCAACACATGCCAGTGCAAATCGGTGCGCAATCGCTATCCGAACTGCCCGTTGCCGACGTGCCCCAATCCCAAGGATCGAGCACAACGATTGCGCAACATACCGACGCGCCTGTTCGAGCTGTCGCCAGAGCTGCGGGATCCATTGATGGCCGAATTTCAAATACCCATGCATGCGACGCGCTGCTGTTCCGCCTGTTTGATGCGCATCCGTCGCAAGCTCGATCCGCAGCTGAATCTCACCGATGACGACCGACATCGTCGCGGCGGCACTGGCAGCGGCAGCGGCGGCGGCGATGCCAGCGCCGGCGACGAAACCGACGTGAGCACCTCCTCCTGCGATGAGCGCGAACCGGGCGGCTCTGATACCGCCTCCGTCGAGAGTCCCGAGTATCTGCAGCGGCACAAGTCTCAGCTGAGTAAGCAGCAGCAGCAGCAGCAGCAACAACAGCAGCAGCAGCAGCAGCAACTGCAGCAACAACAGCAGCAGCAACAGCAGCATCATCAGCAGCTGCAACAACAACAGCAGCAGCTGCAGCACCATCAGCAGCATCTGCAGCAACAACAGCAGCAGCTTCATCAGCAGCTTCAGCAGCATCAGCAACAGCAGCATCAGCAACAACAGCAGCAGCAACAGCAGCAACAGCAACAGCAGCAACATCAGCTGCCACAGCCGCCACCAGTGCCGCATAAGCCGCAACACCAGCTGCAACATCAACAGCCCTCGGCGATCAATGTGCGCAGCGTGGCAGATGCCACAGGCGCCGCGCTGACCATCACGCCCACTCGCATGAGCGCCAAGCAAGCGGCTGCAGCAGCAGCGGCAGCAGCAGCAGCCGCTGGCCACGACAACGAGCGCCTGCTGCCGCCCGCCTGCCAAGCGCCCAAGAAGCAGAAGACCAGCGAGGAGTACGACTCGTCGGCCACGGAGACAGCGGATGAGGAGAACGAGAACTCGCCGGCGAATCGCCAGAGTCCCAAGGTGATCTTCAATGCGGTCGCACACGCGCATGCCCACGGCCATGGTCACGGTCACGGCCATGGCAACAATGTGGCCGGACTGCAGCCGCCACATGCGGCAGGATCTGTGCCACTGAGCGCACAGCAGCAGCAGCAGTTGCAACAGCAGCAACAACAGCAGCAGCAACAGCCTAATGGACCCATGAGCCTGCGCCGCGAGCCGGTCAACAATGTTCAGGATTGCGTTTACTCGGTTATCGAGCGGCAGCTGAAACAGCAGGCCAAGGGCCCACAGCTGCCCGGCAACAATCAGGGCAAGCAAGGCGGGCAACAGCAGCAACAGCAGCAACAGCAGCAGCAGCAACAGGCACACAACAACTTGGAGCGTAAGGAGCTGAGCACAGTGCGTGAATATAGACAGGATGGCAGCGCTTTGCTCAAGCAGCAGCAACAGCAGCAACAACAACAGCAGCAGCAGCAGCAACAGTTGCAACAGCAGCAGCAGACACCACCGCCAGCGGGGCTGCCACATGGCACTTCTGTGCAGAAGATAAACGCACGCGCCGTGCCGCCGCCCAACTCCGTCAACAGCAGCAGCAGCGGTAGCAGCAACAGTCACAGCAGCAACAGTAACAACAGCAACAACAATGCCAGCAGCAGCAACAACAATAGCAGCGACAATTTGGCCACTTTGTCTGTGGTCAATACGCATCTGGCAGCGCATCATGTGCACATGCCACATCCGCTGTTGCAGCAGCAGAAACAGCAACAACAGCAGCAGCAACAGCAACAACAGCAGCAACAACAGCAGCAACAGCAGCAGCAGCAGCAACAGCAACAACAATTGTTGAGCAGCATTGAAAAGGCCACCATTACGCCCGTGATGAAGAAGAGCGCTGTCTCGTCCACACCGCCCGATACAATCATCTACAATGTGTCCGGCAGTCATTTGGCAGCACAGCAGCAACATCAACAGCAACATCAGCAGCAGCAGCAGCATCAGCATCAGCAATCCGCACCGCCAGCAACGCATTCGGTGCACGCAACGCTGCCACAACGTTTGGCTGTGGAGCCAGAGCCGCAGACGCTCGACTTGAGCATCAAGAAGCCTCCGCGGGATGGCCACTCGCCGCATACGGGCGCCGGCGCCGTTGATCGACATCATGGACCGCCGCCGACATTGGGCGGCGCCATGAAGCACATTGTGCGCACGGCGCCCATGTATAGATCCGAGGCGGGACCCGCATTGTCGGTGCCCGGCGGACCGCCCAATGCGCCCAGCTATTTGATGTACCAGCAGCTTCATGGCGTGGGCGTGGGCGTAGGCGTGGTCAAGTCATCTGCTGTGCCCGCCCAGCCGGGCTCGCTGTATGTGCAACCCGTACCTGTACCCGCCGGCCAGGGCCAAATGACGCGTCCAACGCCGCCGCCGCCCGCACAGCCGCAGCCGCCGCCGACGCGCGTCTCCAAGCTGCCGCCCAAGCTCAGTCCACAGCAGCAGCAGCAGCAGCAGCAACAACAACATTTGCACAGTCAGGTGCCGTCGCCGCAGCAACAGCAGCAGCAACAGCAGGCAGCAGCTGCAGCTGCAGTTAGCGTCGCCCAGCAGCAGCAGCAATTGCAGCTGGTAAAGGGCGGCTCCATAACCCACGGCACGCCCACCAATAGCGCACAGCAGCAACAGCAACAGCAGCAAATTATTGTGCATGCAACGCCCTCTTCGCTGCCCAGTCCCAAATATGAGAGCCTGGTGCGCCAGACGCCGCCGGGCAGCTGTCCGGAGAGCGGCAAGCATGGCTCGATCACGCAGGGCACGCCGCTGCATTTGCCGCCGCATCCGTTGGATAGCAAGCGGGCTTATGATTTCTATAAGAGTTCGCAGCGCTTGAGTCCCGCACAGGCGCCGCCGCCGCCGCCGCAGCAGTCGTCGCCGCAGGCACCGCCGCCCCAGGGCTATGGCGTGGGCGTTACCGTTGGCTCGCCCTATGCCCGCTCGCCCTACAGCACCGTCGTCGAGCAGGCCTCGGCGCTCAGTTCGCGCCAGATTGTCATCAACGACTATCACACCTCGCAGCAGATGCAGGGCCAGCAGCAGCGCAACGTCTCCCGGGGCAGCAGCAGCGCCGGCGGCGGCGCCGGTTCCGGTTCGGACAAGGAGTCGCCGTCGCCCCGCAACAGCATTAGCAGCGGATCGGCTGTCTATGCCGGCTACGAGAAGGAGCCACAGCCTCGCGGACGACCCGAATATTCCAGTCGCGCCTCTCCGGCCGATCATTCCAACAGGTATGCATATCGAAACTATATGTTCTGATTGATTAATTGATTAACTGACTGACTAACTAATATACGGACTGACAGACTAGCTGATTTACTGACTGATTTACCGATTGACTGACTGACTGACTGACTGATTAACTGACTGACTGACTGGTTGATTGATTGATTGACTAAATGAATGACTGATTGAACTGACTGAATGACTAACTGTTTGACAGCCTAAGATTATTGACTGAAAGACAAACTAATTGATTGACTTTCTGCCTAACTGAGAGAATTGATTCGCTGACTAACTGACTGAATAACTTGATTGATTACTGATTGATGCACAGTTCTGGGCAGCTAAATATCCTGCCCATTTATCTATATATATGTATTTATTCCTTTCTTTTCTTTAATGTCTAATATGCTAACTCGATTCTCCTTCTGCAGCACACCCAGTCCGCATCGCACGCCGCCACCGCAGCGTCAGGGCGTCATTCAGCGCCACAACACGGGCTCCAAGCCCCCGTCGCCCGCTGCGCCGCCACCCAATCGCATGCACATTGTCACACCCTTCAATTTTCCGCCAGGTAAGCGCTTGGTCGTTTTATGTGCTCCGGATGTACTCTCAATAGATTGCCAAAACTGTGTTCATTTATGAACTGGGCTGAGGCTTAGGCTATGTTTAAAAAAGTAACACATTTTTAAATTTTGCTTCTTCTTCCGATTAGCTGGCCACGATGCGCTGGCCTCGTTTGTGGATGTGGCCGTGCAGCAGCCACAGCTGCCGGTGCCATCGCAAAAGGATGACAAATCGCCAGTGTCGCAGCCGCCACCGCAGCCACAGCCGCCGCCATCGACACACGGTCCGATAATAACGCACGCCCAGGTGGCGCCGGGACAGCCGGTGCCGCCGGCAGCGCATCACGATCTGCGCTATCGGGCCGATCAGATATCGGCCAACTATCATCATCAGATGGCCGCCGCGGTACACCAGCAGCTGGCCCAGCAGCAGTACAGGCAGCAGCTGAACGCCGCCGCTGCCGCGCACGAGATGCAGCGTCGCATGGAGCAGGTTAAGCGCGACCAACGCCAGATCAATCACAACATAGAACGGGAACGCGAGCTCCAAAAGGAGATCATGCAAAATCAGCATCGCATCGAGCGACAGCGCGAACAGGAGCGCCAGCGCCGGGAGCAGGAACGCCGCGAACAGGAGCGCGCCGCCGAGGAGCGGGACACTCGACGCATGGAGCGCATGCTGGCCGCGGCCAATGCTGTGCCACCGCCAAGCCATGCCCATGCTCATCCTCATGGACATGGGCACTATATGCGTGGCCCGGTGCCTGAAACTGGGCCGCCACGCACCATACCTGACCGCGAGCGCGAAGCGTAAGTATCAATCAATCATTCAATCAATTTTAATCAATCATATAAGTCAAACCCTAGCAAGATAAAACCGTAAATATATAAAACTAATCATATTAAATATTATAGATTTCAATCTGTCAATCATAAACGTTTTAATCAATCAATCGATCAATCAATACTATCATATCCAACTATCATCAATCAATATAACTGTTCAAAAATATCAATCAAACATTTAACATTACTGCACAAAATAAAAGCTTTCAATCCCAATCAATCAGTCATACTTATCTACCATATTCGAAACTATCTCTCAATCAGTACAAATCATTATATAAATAAGTAAGAGGCTCTAGTCGGGAGCTCCCGACTAGGGGATACCCTTAACCCTCTTCATCTAACATCAAATGCATATATACATATATTCTGTTTTAGAAGCAACATATCATAATTCATGACTCTAGCTTTTATTATTTACCAAAATTGCCCAAAAAACAGGATATAGATATCGATTTTTATCGATTGCCTGAAAACAGAGTAACTTATCGATTATCGGAAACAAAATCGATCTGCGCAGGCACTAGGAGCACGCACCTACATCTAATATGTTCTAAGATCCTTGCGTTCATACATACGGACGGAAGGACGGACAGACAGACAGACGGACATGGCTAGATCGACTCGGCTATTGATGCTGATCAAGAATATATATACTTTATGGGGACGTCATATCTCTATTTAAAAAAAAAAAAAAACGTGATGATTTGGAGTTATGTCGTTTTGGAACGTCATTTCTCCCGCGGAGTTATGTCGTTTTGGAACGTCATATCTCCGCGCGGAGTTATGTCGTTTTGGAACGTCATATCTCCGCGCGGAGTTATGTCGTTTTGGAACGTCATATCTCCGCGCGGAGTTATGTCGTTTTGGAACGTCATATCTCCGCGCGGAGTTATGTCGTTTGGAAACGTCATATCTCCGCGCGGAGCTATGTCGTTTTGGAACGTCATATCTCTATTTCGAAAAAAAAAACGTGATGATTTGGAGTTATGTCGTTTTGGAACGTCATATCTCCCGCGGAGTTATGTCGTTTTGGAACGTCATATCTCCCGCGGAGTTATGTCGTTTTGGAACGTCATATCTCCGCGCGGAGTTATGTCGTTTTGGAACGTCATATCTCCCGCGGAGTTATGTCGTTTTGGAACGTCATATCTCCCGCGGAGTTATGTCGTTTTGAAACGTCATATCTCCGCGCGGAGTTATGTCGTTTGGGAACGTCATATCTCCGCGCGGAGCTATGTCGTTTTGGAACGTCATATCTCCGCGCGGAGCTATGTCGTTTTGGAACGTCATATCTCCGCGCGGCGTTATGTCGTTTTTGAACGTCATATCTCCCGCGGAGTTATGTCGTTTTGGAACGTCATATCTCCGCGAAGTTATGTCGTTTTGGAAGGTCATATCTCCGCGCGGAGTTATGTCGTTTTGGAACGTCATATCTCCGCGCGAAGTTATGTCGTTTTGGAACGTCATATCTCCGCGCGGAGCTATGTCGTTTTGGAACGTCATATCTATATTTCGAAAAAAAAAAACGTGATGATTTGGAGTTATGTCGTTTTGGAACGTCATATCTCCCGCGGAGTTATGTCGTTTTGGAACGTCATATCTCCCGCGGAGTTATGTCGTTTTGGAAGGTCATATCTCCGCGCGGAGTTATGTCGTTTTGGAACGTCATATCTCCGCGCGGAGTTATGTCGTTTTGGAACGTCATATCACCGCGCGGAGTTATGTCGTTTTGGAACGTCATATCTCCGCGAAGTTATTCGTTTTGGAAGGTTATATCTCCGCGCGGAGTTATGTCGTTTTGGAACGTCATATCTCCGCGCGGAGTTATGTCGTTTTGGAACGTCATATCTCCCGCGGAGTTATGTCGTTTTGGAAGGTCATATCTCCGCGCGGAGTTATGTCGTTTTGGAACGTCATATCTCCGCGCGGAGTTATGTCGTTTTGGAACGTCATATCACCGCGCGGAGTTATGTCGTTTTGGAACGTCATATCTCCGCGAAGTTATTCGTTTTGGAAGGTTATATCTCCGCGCGGAGTTATGTCGTTTTGGAACGTCATATCTCCGCGCGGAGTTATGTCGTTTTGGAACGTCATATCTCCGCGCGGAGTTATGTCGTTTTGGAACGTCATATCTCCGCGAAGTTATTCGTTTTGGAAGGTTATATCTCCGCGCGAAGTTATGTCGTTTTGGAACGTCATATCTCCGCGCGGAGTTATGTCGTTTTGGAACGTCATATTTCCGCGCGGAGTTATGGCGTTTTGGAACGTCAAATCTCCGCGCGGAGTTATGTCGTTTTGGAAGGTCATATCTCCGCGGAGTTATGTCGTTTTGGAAAGTCATATCTCTATTTCAAAAAAAAAAAAAACGTGATGATTTGGAGTTATGTCGTTTTGGAACGTCATATCTCCGCACGGAGTTATGTCGTTTTGGAACGTCATATCTCCCGCGGAGTTATGTCGTTTTTGAACATCATATCTCCCGCGGAGTTATGTCGTTTTGGAACGTCATATCTCCCGCGGAGTTATGTCGTTTTGGAAGGTCATATCTCCGCGCGGAGTTATGTCGTTTTGATACGTCATATATCCCACGGAGTTATGTCGTTTTGGAATGTCATATCTCCGCGGAGTTATGTCGTTTTGGAACGTCATATCTCCGCGCGGAGCTATGTCGTTTTGGAAAGTCATATCTCTATTTCAAAAAAAAAAACGTGATGATTTGGAGTTATGTCGTTTTGGAACGTCATATCTCCCGCGGAGTTATGTCGTTTTGGAACGTCATATTTCCGCGCGGAGTTATGGCGTTTTGGAACGTCAAATCTCCGCGCGGAGTTATGTCGTTTTGGAAGATCATATCTCCGCGGAGTTATGTCGTTTTGGAACGTCATATCTCCGCGCGGAGCTATGTCGTTTTGGAAAGTCATATCTCTATTTCAAAAAAAAAAAACGTGATGATTTGGAGTTATGTCGTTTTGGAACGTCATATCTCCGCGCGAAGTTATGTCGTTTTGGAACGTCATATCTCCGCGCGGAGCTATGTCGTTTTGGAACGTCATATCTCCGCGCGGCGTTATGTCGTTTTTGAACGTCATATCTCCCGCGGAGCTATGTCGTTTTGGAAGGTCATATCTCCGCGCGGAGTTATGTCGTTTTGGAACGTCATATCTCCGCGCGGAGTTATGTCGTTTTGGAACGTCATATCTCCCACGGAAATATGTCGTTTTGGAACGTCATATCTCCCTCGGAGTTGTGTCGTTTTGGAACGTCATATTTCCGCGCGGAGTTATGTCGTTTTGGAATGTCATATCTCCGCGCGGAGCTATGTCGTTACTCTAGCACTTAATATTTACCAAAATTGCCCAAAAAACAGGATATAGTTATCGATTTTTATCGATTGCTTGGAAAAGAAGTAAGTTTTCGATTATCGGAAACAAACTCGATCTGCGCAGGCACTAGGAGCACCTACATCTAATATGTTCTAAGATCCTTGCGTTCATACATACTAACGGACGGACGGGCAGACAGACAGACGGACATGGCTAGATCGACTCGGCTATTGATGCTGATCAAGAATATATATACTTTATGGGGTCGGAGATGCTTCCTTCTGCCTGTTACATGCATTTGGATTTTGCACAAATACCCATTATACCCGTTTTATACCCATTATTAATGGGTTCAGGGTATATACAGTCCAAGTGAATACATTGAATCATTCAATCAGTCAATGAAAATGCATACAAATCAATGAAAGTAATTTAATGAGTTTTTCAAAATGTTGTGAACATGCAATCAATCAATCAAAATGTATCCGTTTACATAACCAAACACATCAATCAATATCAATCATGCCAAATTTCGCTCTTCTTGCAGCTACTATCGTCAGGCACACGGCAGCAATCCACCGGAGGATGCACCTGGACAATTCAGCGCCCAGAGTCTGATTGATGCCATCATCAAGCACGAGATAAGCCGCACCGGCGACATCGGCAACCTGCCCCGCGACATACCGCGTCCCAACTACGTGAGTACAACGTCGCCTGGATACCCTCTTGAGTATTGTGAGCTAACCTTTGCCCTCAAACGCTTTCAGTATCCGCGCGACCTGCGCCAGTCGCACGAGGGTCCCGTCTCGCTGCGGGCCGCCGAAAACAACGGCAGCATGAACTCCAGCTCGCCCAGCGTCAACAGCATTGATCTCGAGCAGGAGCAGCGTCCACAGCAACAGTCGCAGCAGCAGCAGCAACAGCAGCAACAACAGCAGCAGCAGCAGCAGCAATCGAAGTCCGGGATGTCGCAGTCCGGCTCGGAGCGCTCCGTGCATGGCACGCTGCGCGGTCAGGTGCCGCCGCCTACGCACCATGGCACGCCCATTTCACAATCGGGCAGCGGCCCGACATCGCAGCAGCAGCAACAGATACACACGAAGAACATCACCTTCGGGGAGCTGACGGACTCGATAATCGCCAAAGACTACGGACCGAATCCGCATTTGCGTCCCACCTATTTGCCGTACATGCAGGATACGCAGAGCATATTGCCCCCCGATCGCTGGAAGCAGAATCGCCGCCAGCAGCAGAAGGCCGAGGAGGCGGCCGCAGCGGCAGCGGCAGCGGAACAACGTGCCAAACAATCGCCCATCAATGTGGTTGGCGGCGGCGGCGGAGGCGGTGGCAGCAGCACTAGCAGCAACAGCAGCGGCAGCAGCAGCAGCAGCGGCATCGGCAGCAACAGCAGCGGCCCCGGCGGCGGCGGCAGCAGGGGCAGCGACGGCGGCCCACCATCGGGTGGCGGACGGGCCAATACGCCCGGCGAGGATGCACGCAACATAATACGCCTGCCGCAGGCGGTCAGTCCACGGAAGTACGCCCACGAGCTGATCATGCAGCATGCCGCAGTTGCCGTTGGCGCCGATCCCACACACTATTTCCTCCAGGCACCCGGCGCTGTCGTCGGCCGCAACAGCGGCGGCGGAGTCGTTGTGCCGCCGCCGCCGCCCTCCGGCGGCGAGCAGCGTGGCCCCGGCGCCGACAGCGGCAGCGGCGGCGGTGGTTCGGGCTCTAAGTTTGACAACTATGTAAAGAATCGCATTGCGGAGGTGATGCGCGACGATTACGGCAAGAGTCGCAACGTGGAGGAGCAGCTGCACGCACAGGTGGCACACCTGGCACACGCCCATGCCGTGGCCGCCCAGAGTCACGTCAAGGAGTCGGCGGCGCCGCCGCCAACGCACGAGATCAGCGTGTCGCGCAAAACGCCCAATCAGTACGATGTGATAGACAGTGGACGACGCTCGGCCAGCAGCAGCAGCGCCGGCTCCAACAGTCACAGTGCGTCCGCCTATCATGCGCCGCCGCCGCCGTCGGCGGTGAACGCCTTCGCTGCCAACACCTATGCGTATCCGTTCAGCGCTCTGACTGTGCCCAGCGCTGCCGGCGGTCTGCCGCCGCCGCCGTCCATGCCCTTGGCGCATCAGTCGGCGCCGCCCTCTCACTTGAGTTGCAAGGTGGCGCATGCGCTCAGCGAGGTGGGCGCCGCAGCGGCAGGCGTCAGTTTGGTTGTCGGCGGCGGCGGCGGCGTCGTTGGCAGCGGCGGTCCAGGTGCTGGCGGCTCAGTGGGCGGCGTCATGGGCGCCTCAGCTGGCGGCGGCGGTGGTCCGCTAAATGCCAACATATTGGCCGTTGCTGCTGCCGCTGCGGCAGCAGCAGCCGCTGCCTGCGAGCCAAAGCCTCTGCTGTCCTCCAAATATGAGGCGCTTAGCGACGAAGATTAGTTGTGACTGCAGGCGTCGTCGTCCGGCATGCGCAGTCTGACGGCAGCAGCGACGGCGCCTCCAGCAGCCCATCCACATAACGCAGCCAACGTCTATCAACATCCGCAGCAGCAGCATCACCAGCAGCAGCAGCAGCATCACCAGCAGCAGCACCAGCAGCAGCAGCTGCAGCTGCAGCAGCATCATCACCAGCAGCAACAGCAGCATCAGCACCTCCAGCAACAGCAGCAGCAACAGCAGCAGCAGCAGCAGCACCTCCAGCAGCAGCAGCAGCAACAGCAACAGCAACAGCAGCAACAGCAGCTAAGCTGGACCAGTGCCGGCTATCGACGTCATCATCTGGTCCAAGCTCAGATGCAGCAGCAGGCGACGGCGCAGCTAGCGCCGCCGCCGCCGCCGCCGCAGCAGCAGCTGTCACCGCACGGGCATCATCATCCAGCACACTATCAGCCGACGGCGCTGCTGCCGCCGCCGCCGCTGCAGTCGGCGTCGGCAGCATTGGCGCAACAACAGCGAGTGCACTATGCAAGCAGTCAACATTACGGTGATCCGACGTCGGCAGCGGCAGCAGCAGCAGCGGCCGCTGCAGCAGCTGCAGCTGCGCATCACTATGCTAGCGGCGCAGGCAGCGGTCCTGGCGCTGGTCATGGCTACTACTGAACAAAGAGACAACAACAACAACAGCAACAATAACAGCAACAACTGCAACATATGTATGTACTCTACGTCATTTACAGCAGCAACAATTTATATGTATATGTATGTGTATGTGTATGTACAGAACTATACCAATTACAAAATTATTCGAGCAAAGCATAAAACGAAAGGAACACACACACACACACACACACAAAAGAGTTGTTGACAACTGACTTGAAAGAGAGCACCGCAGGCTAAGAGAGCGAGCACTTTTGCGCTCACACAGTTAGAGACTAGACTACGCTCTTCTAAACGAAAGAGAGCTTTGAATGAAAACAGCATAGAGAGTTAGAGAAAGACACACGCAAACACACACACACACACACACACACACACAGACACACACAGGCAGGCACGCACACGCAAGAGCTGGTGCATTTGTTGCCTTGCATTTTGTGTTAGTTATGTAACCCAATCGGCAATCTGCTGACCTGACCCCTTCATGGACTAGACACACTCAGAATGGACGCACGCACGCACGTACGCACGCACGCACGCACGCACGCACCAAAAATGAAAGAATGAATGAATAATGCAAATTAAAACTGTTGTTAGGCATGCAAACAGTTGAAAGTATAATAGAATATATGCTTACATACGGTATGTATGTGTATGTGTATGGTCTATGTATGTACATATATTTATATTTACATATGTGTCTATATTATATATATATACATATATATATATCTATATATATGTATATGTTTATGGAGAGAGAAAGGCAGCCGCGAATTTAAGCACCAGCTGCATGCGCTTTTATCGCACTTCCTTTTTCCCGACCCCCCCGAGCTGCCCACACCTTGTAGCGCCAGTCTCACTCTCCCTCTTTCGTTCTCGCTCTCGCGCAAGCACTCGCCCACACATCTCTGTTTCATACACCGTTCTTGTGTTTTGTTGTGTGTCTCTCTTTCTCTCTCTCTCTCTTTCTTTCTTTCTCTGTTATTGTTCTTTGATTTGAATTTTCAGTTACGTGCATTTGTTGTAATTTGTAGCCCAAACGTAAACATAACCTCAAAAATTGAGTCGAAAACTTAAGGAAATTAAATTTAGTGACAAAAATATATATATATGTATATGTATATGTATATGTAAAAATATATGTATATGTGTATGTATATTTAAGGATGAAAACTATTACATAAATACATATATATTAAACAATTAAATTTAACAAAATATATATATTTAAAACAAAACAAAAACAAGAAAATAAATACACTGTTGGGCTGTTCTTAGAAAAGAGAAAAAAATCTAAACAAAAACAAATACAAAAAAAAAAAAAACAAAAAAAAACATATTATATAAATACATAAATGAAAGAAAAAAAAATCAAGTAAATATATATTAAAGTACACTTGCAAAACATTTATTTAAAAAAACAAAAAATATTTTGTAAATTTCATAAAAACAACAAGAAAACAACTAAACATAATTTTAAACATATACTATAACTACTTTTTTGTACTATCCATTTTTTTTTTATTTTGCTATTTCTATGTGTAAGTTTTTAATTTATGAAGCATTATTGTTTTTTTTTTTTCTATATTGATAAACTTACGGATATGCATATATGCTTGTATGTGTGTACACAGTTATAAATAAATAAATCTATATATATATGTATATATATATATATATATATATATATATACTATATGCTATATGCTATTGAATTATGTACGTTTATTATGATAATGTTTATGTAAGTAAAAGAAAACAAAAACAAAACAATTTTGTATATATATATGCTTACATGTATATATATACAATATACATATATATATATATAATATTATTATTATTATTATTATTATTATTATTATATACATACGCATATTTTTTTATATAACAAACTTATGTCTTACAACAAACAAACAAACAAAAAAGAAGAAAAAGAAACGATTAAAAAAAAAACAGTTTTAGTGTTTAGCTATTTTACTGTTTATGTTTTTTTTTTTTAACTTATTTTTTACATGCAAAAAAGAAAGAAAAAAAAAACAATTTTTAAAAGAATTGAAAATAAAAACGATTTACAAAAATTAAATATTTTTAATACACAATGTAACTAAAAAAAAATATATATATATATATATAAAAAAAAACAAACAAAAAAAAATAAAATTAAAAACCACAACAAAACGCTAAGACTTATTCAACAAAAATTTGTAAAATATTAACAAAAACTTATAAATGTATATACGTATATGTGTATGCATGTGTGTGCGTATATATATATATATATATATGAATATAAATATAAATTTAAATATAAATAAAAATTTAAATATAAATATAAATATAAATATACTTATATTAAAGAATATATATAAACAGAAATGGATATGAAAAAGATATGAGAAATACATAAACACACACTCTCACACACAAACACTCCAACACACACACACACACACACGCACAGACACACGCGTAACTCTGCTGAGGCTTTTGGCCAGCGCGGCATCGATTTGGTAAAATGCATGTCCGGTTTTTTTTTATAAATATATATGCATGTATATGTATGTGTGTGTATATATATATACACACTAATTACGAAGTAAATAACAAATTCTATATGGCATAAATACAAAAAGAGAGTGAATAAAATGATACAACAATAATATATATATATATATATATATACATTTATATATAAATGTGTATATAAGTTTATATATGTATATATGTTTGTGTGTGCATATGTATATACAAATAAACATATATGTGCGCATGTATGTTAGTATGTGTGTGTGTATGCATATGTGGAACCCGAGCTGCAGCCGCAAACGTTGGCTAAGGAACAAAGTCGCCCGAACAGCTCATGTTCTATATTACCACACACACATATATATATATATATATATATATATATTAATATAAATAAATATAAATATAAATAATATATAATATATATAAAATATGAAATCTAAAATCTAAATGGCAACTAAAGTTAAACATAAAAGTTGCCGAATTTTAATAAAACAAGAAGAAAGTTAGGAAAAAAAAACTTGCGCTGATTAGAAAAAGCAGCAACAGCTGATCATGATCATGAACATGTTGACGATAATGATCACAAAAATTTATAAAAATGTATGCAAAACAAAAACACAAAAATATGCAAAAAAAAAAAAAAAAAAAAGAATGAATGAAAACGAAAAAGAAAAACAAACGAAAGATTACAAATATAACAATATGTAATAATAATGAAATAACACAACAGCAACAAAGTCGATGGTTTATTGTTTATATTTTTTGTTTTCTTTTTTTTTTTTTTTTTGTTCATTTTGATTTCCGGTTTCTGTTTGAATATACAAAAATGCATGATCGATAAACAATTGACATAAACATAATGATAAACATATAAATATAAAAATGATTTGAATACCATATATGTATATATATATATATATGTGTGTGTGTGTGTATGTATATATACATACATACATATACATATATGTATATAAATATTTATGATTGATACAAACAAATAAAGAGAACGATGTGTAGCTCTTAAGTTTTAGTTTGTAACTTTATGCCTTAAGTTGTAAGCTTACAAATAATAAAATAAAATTAAATACAATATATTAAAAAGCAAACAAAACAAATATAAAAACAAATACAAACAAACAAACAAAAAAAATGAATAAAACAACAACAAAACAAATGTATAACAAAATGTGCCTTTTCTTTCTTGATCGGGGCAAATTTTTTATTCCAGTGGTTAAAACATGATTAGAAATTGAATATATATAGATTTTCTCGATTTCAAATCGCTTCAATTCTGGACAAGTTATGTCTACTTAGGCGCATGCAACTTAATGGAACAGATTGGCAACAAAAATTGTTATATTCGTTAGATTTATATGGGATTCGATAATTGTGATCCGCACGAGTCCAGAATGCTATCCCAAACAAAAATCGGATCTAAAATACTCGAGATATTTAAATTTGAATGAATTTGTTTGGACTCAAATGATTAATTGGAGGAACTGCAACTTTTTGTAAAGAGCGTCCGGCTTAGTGAATAAAAGACATTTGTTTTATTGCTATTGATTTATTATTGATACTCTATATAGGCAGCGATCCACTGCCTTGGCTTGCAATAGAAGACAAGACAGCAAGAATCGAGTCGGCTTAGGCATTTGCGAAAGTATCCCTGAAGTATGCTTAAACTATTTATTACGCGGCAATCCTAAAATTATGCTACACCAACTGAACGTGTGAACATGGCCGTAACCAGAATATCCAGTTAATGCAACAAACCGAAAACCTTAACTCGCCTGTCAATTGGTTTTCTCAGATTCTCATTCTCATACTTTTTGCTTGTTAATAGATAATATAAACGCAACGAGTCTTATAGTATACAAGTATGCGATAACTGCCCGTGTTAATT